CTTTTCCTATTTCCAGCAAAAGTGACTTAATCTCCTCCTGCATATATGAATAATTCTGACTTTGAGGCAAATATAATTTCAAAAGTTGAACGAAGCAATAAAATGCAACTTTTAGTAAAGCTTTTGGTATAATTCTAGTAGTCACATAATTTATTTTAAGTGAGTTTCTGGACATTAAAGCATGTTAAATGAACAAAATCTGCATAGCAGTTAAATTAGATTTAAAAAAAAGAAGAAAAGAAACATGTTTGAATATTTAAATGGCAGTTGGAGTTAACAACGTGAAAGCTTTTCTGAGATTTTCTTGTCCCCTTACTAAAAAGCAAAAACGTACATTAAGTATAAAGGGAGGGGTGCCCTTGGGGAGAACTTTCTGTGGAAAACTATCTCGTGTTCTGGTTACACATGGGAAGGACCGGAAAAGTGCCCATGTAGCCAGCTCATCTACTGGAATGCTAACCCGGATCGAGTTCAGGGATCTTATCAACTTAGCCGCTTGTAAACAGTAATAAAATCATAAACAGAAGCTTCAAAACTATATTTTCTCTGTTTGTGATCGAAAACACTATAAAATTAAGACTAATGTTGCAGAAATTATAAAAGCAATCCCAGGGACTAGCCTTGAGATATGAAATATAAATTTCCTCGTAAGTCTTTATATTAAAATTAATCTCATGAATATGCTTACTACATATCATTTGCTAATCTATAAGTTTCTTGGAAATTCGCTTGCCAGTTAAAATATTTTGGTAATGCTTCTAACATTTGCTCAGTTTCATCACGAACATCTTATTTATTAAGTGTGCGGCGGACCACACAAAGACAAGAGATTCAAACGTGCTGTCCCTTCATATTGGTAGTCTTCGAGCTTTTACGAGGTGTGAGACTGCATGCTCTGATATTGCAGGAGTCATAATTTCACGGCTAGTGTTAAGAGAGTTTAGCCATCTGCGTTGTGTTTGTCATAAAGGCCTCTCAAATGCAGGGGCCAAAGAACCAATAATAACTCTTATCACTATCTAACACTCAGTTAATAATTGTAATTTAAATATCGGGATTCCTAACACTATCAACATTATTACTACATTATGCTTACACAGTAGCAACCACAACACTACAAAAAAAGGTTCTTTTAATGTAAAATTTTTAGTTTTAAAGGATCCTTTAACTTTGAAATACTAAAGAAAGGGTTTTAAAAAATGCACATAATTTAATTTCATTAAAACGGCATCCATTGGATTCCGCTGGTTCTTCACTAAATACCAAATGATTTTCGGTTTTAGGTCGGCCATAAAATGATTATGTCTTTGAATAATGAACGAGTTCTGGATCCAAAAATGCGAGTGGCAATTTACAAAACGAAATCAAACACTGTTGTAAGAGTTTAAAAATTCCATTTGTTGCCACCTACTTCTAGTTTAAAATACTGTACTATTCTAGTTTAAAATCCTGTACCCACTCCTTTGCTGTACTGTACTTTTAAAAATATCCAATACGAATTTTGGAAGCTGAATATACTTCTAATAAATATACAGAAGAAAAATGGTATAAATTCAATAGAAAAACAAATTAAAAATCAAATATAAGAAGGAAATTGTTATCAGTTTAATTCTTGATGCTGCACGTTGAGTAATTATGAAAAGAATGCACTTGACAAAAGTATATACTTGCGAATGCTGGACAAAGAATGGCGCAACTGTAATATTTGCTTAAAGCCACCTGTGTTGAATGATTTCCGTTTTCTTATGCCAACGAACATTTCGTGCAGTCTGAATGTTTTGGAGGCAGTAAAAGTCTCAGAAAGTTGACCAAAGACATGAACATTTCAGTTGTTTTAAGAAATTATTTTGAAACATTCAGCATGAAGGTAATATAAATGAACTGAATATAAACAGTTGCTTTACTGAATAAAATACTTTATCACTGTTGAACAAATTCGGGATATTATTTATCCACAGTGAGGAAATTATAATAAAATGAATGTGATTGTAGGTGATAGCATGCTAGATTACTGTCTGCGTCATATAATTTATGTATTTTGGGTTGAACGCTATACATAAAGCAGCTAAATAACTTCAAACATTAACCCGTTAGTTTCGTTACGTTAAATTCATGCATTTACTCTTTAAACACTATGAATGGAGTTATGATATGATACTGAGTGTTACTGGTATGATATTGAGTGTTACTGGTATGATATTGAGTGTTACTGGTATGATATTGAGTGTTACTGGTATGGTATTGAGTGTTACTGGTATGATATTGAGTGTTATTGGTATGATATTGAGTGTTACTGGTATGATATTGAAAATAGTTCTTTGAAAGCCTTACGAAAATTTAAACTAAAGTTATAAATGCTTCACCTGTTGTAGCAGAATTAAATAAAATATTTTAAAATTTATACACTAAATTTCATACGTAGACAAAAATATCTATACATATTTTTCAATCCCTTACTTCCAAACTTACTTCCCTGCTTCCAAACTGGGCAAGCTATGCAAGAAAGAGTTATGTATTCTTATGAAGTTCGTAAGGTTAGGGGATTATTTATGCACTAATATGAGTAGACTACGATGCCCTTCAAATTATAATCAGCAAAATCACAGAAAGATGTGTCATTGATAGTGATGATGGATGGGTTCGAATTTATCTGCTCTTCGCTTTCTAGAGTAAATAGGCACAAATGAATGTCTTCAGATAATTAGAATGCTTTAAACCAAGTAACGTGTAAAATTTTCTTTAAAATAAGATCAAAACATTGCAGATTTTAAATAAGGTATTCAATGAATTATAATTTGAAGGCATTATACAACCATTTAATCAATCTACACATTAAATTACTATGCCTGAATTAATAAACGGCATTTAAATTTTCTATGCCGTAGGCATTGGAAGATGAAGATAACTTTATTCCCTTTTTGAGCTTCTGAATATTTGAGAATAGTAATATTCTCAAATAGTCAGAATTTTATTAATGCTTATTATTCTATGCTCTTAAAATTGAAATTTTAAACGTTTTAAATTTATTTAATCATAGTTATAAATGTAGACTACAATTTAAATTTTCTGCCTCTTAGGCCGTTAACGTTTTTAAATTTTAAATTCTTTATGATGTATTTCAAATGTCAACATCATGTCTCAGTTCTTTAGTGTTAAGGTATTTTGAAGCAGTTTTACGAAACGTAATGTACTGAACAAATGTAAAAGCCAGAATAAAAAAAAGGCAAACAGGCCTAAGATGGAAATAAGGATTGTCTGTAAGTTGAATAAATTCGAATACTTTTGAAACACTCCAAAACCGTATATGCATTTGGAAGACGGGGGTTATTTATGTTACAGATTGAGTTTACATATTTATGAGATGCAGTTTGTTGATTATTGTACTAAAGGTTTGCTATCAATTAATCTAACTGAATTCGTATCAGAAAAGAAATCAATGTGTCTAGGTATCTAAGTTCATTACGAAATTGTTTTCGATACATGGGTGCCTTTCTGTTTCAGTAATGCAGACTATTGTTTATAAGTGGTATTTATACCATATTTAAAAAATAATATTATAAAGTATTATAAAATAAATGTTTTAATTAAATGTTAAATGTTAAATTATGTTAAATGTTTTAATGTTAAATTTTATAATGTTTAAAATAGTTTTAAAAATTAATGTTATAAATATATCACTAAATAGTGTACAACGAGGTTAAATGATCATCGACAAAAGATTAAGAGCAGTGAAACGCTTCACTTCGTTCCTAAGACGGACATCACTAAAAGTGACCAGTATTTTCGAGAATATAATTAAGTAAAAATATTGAATATTGAACGCCTGTGATATGTTCTCTAGTGTTGCGACGACAACAACAACAAAAAAGCGTAAATTCTGTATGATAGTCTTAAACAGGCTCCACTGCAACTATCATGCCAGTGATAATGAACTTTTACAATTTCTAGTAAACTGATGATTTCATTTTAACTCAGTAAATAAATGCAAACTAATAGTAAAATTCAAATGATAGACTATTCAATTTTTTTATAGTCTGCGAAGTCGTTTTCGCATTAAATTTGCTGTTATTAATGGCCGAAATTTAAATGATCATATATTAGCACATAATTTTAACCCTTGAGTGGATGCAGAATTTTGACATTCTGAAATTATACATAAGATTATCAAATACCCTATTACATAAACAGTGATGTCGTAATTCAAACAGCCACTCCTCACACACGTATATATATATATATATATATATATATGTAATAATAAAATTCCATAGTCAGGAATACACTTAAATTTCTAACTGCATGTTCTTTTTTTTTTTTTTTTTTTTTTCTTTTTTTTTTTTTTAATGGCGACGTTCTCTTATTTGAAAGTACGTGGAATTAAATCCACAGCCCCGTAGTCAAGTTGTTTTTCCCGCCTTTTCTACACGTACAGTTATAGAATGTTCTGGAAATATTTAAAGCGAACTGGAATGGCTGACGAGGTTGACGTCATTTCTTGGAAGCTCCGCCTTTCCAGAGGCTATAAAAGGACTCGCAAAGGAATATCGGGGACTTTTCTTTAACGTAACGATGCAGTAAACTTCATACAAAAAGTTATTAGTAATTCTTTTTTATTTACTCCGGAGATCAGATTTTTGTAATTGCTATTTTCTCCTGAAATATAATAACTGGATCCTGTTTTTTAAACTTATCGTCTGATAATTTAAGCTACGACTACATCTATGATTCTTCACCAATCTATTTATTCCGGACAAAAGCTGGTACATCATATATATATATATATATATGTGTGTGTGTGTACATTTAGAAAACTGCTCAAATGATACAAAAATGTTGTTTTGACCAACATTCGGCTAATAAAACCAGTCTTCGGATAAAAGAAAGAGAGCTAAATTAAAAAACAGTTGGTAATTGGGAGAAACTCCTGTATGCATTCTAAGGTTTAAACATTTTTCTTTACTATGACTTAAAAATGTAAAACAAAACACGTCTATACTTACAGTTTAGGAATCTGTACTCTATCAGCCTCGGAGTTTCGACCGTAATCATGCCAAGACCTTTTGGAGGATCCAGATTGCGAACTTGCCGGCCTACTCGGACTCGGTGTAGGTTCTGTCTGGAGAATAGTTGCTGCTTGAGAAAGATCAGAATAATCGAAGATCTAAAAACAAAGTAAAACACCATTTTAGCAGGTTTTCAGATACGTAATTCAAAATACTTTCATATGTGTAATAAAATTGTACAAACACTTTCCCTAACAAAGATCGATGCATCAAAAACAACTGTTTTCAAATGCACTACTTTAATATCGGTCGTTTTTATTAGCATAAGAGAGAATTTAACAGTGGTCTATGCAACGTATCATTCCCGTCTTAGGAACTGTTTAATATCAATAAGCAAAAATATCAATACTGGTCTTTATCGATAGAAAATTTTTCTTTGGAAGCAGGCAAAGTAATTACTGAGAATGCCCAATAGTAAATAAACAACATTTAAAAGTTTTATTAGGGTGTCATAAGCCGTCGTCACCGTGAGTGGTGGATTAAAAGGGATGAAGCATCACCTACATATGACATGGATTTTGTTTTTTATTACAATTCTGTACCAACCATTTTTATTACAACCATGTTGTTTTTTATTACAACACCTACCCATTTACCATAGATAGATACTGCTTATGAACCACATTTAGGTTTAAGACACAATAACACGCCGAACAAATACTAATTCAGAAGTCAAACAACAAAAATCGGCGTTATATTTTCAAAATTTTCACAGGACTAGTTTCGATGGTCCTGTGAAAATTTTGAAAATATAACGCTGATTTTTGTTGTTTGACTTTTGAATTCACATTTAGGTTCTTCATGGCTTAGCGTTTTTAGAAGTCATTTTCAGAGCGTATGATTATTACTTTAAAGGGACTTCTAGCCTACCCAATCATCTGATTTAGCCTTATCTATTTCCTTTGGGGCTATAAAGTGTACAAAATAAGTCTCCCTCCCCCATATTAAATTTAAAGACAGAATTTGGGAGTGTACGCAAAACATTCCCCAGGCTATGCATCAGCACACGTTACAATCATCGTGACTGCAGTAACATATTTAACTGAACAGAGGTCATTTACTTTGCGAGATACTCAAAACATGATGTTACACTAGTATAGTTCAAAGTTTACGTGATAAACGTATGCGAAAAAAAAATGCAAATTTTTTACTTTCCATTTGCATTTGATTTCTTTTTGGAAACAACTAGCTGCTTTTGACACAACTTTTATTTTAATTTAAACAGGAAATTTTCATTTTATATATTTAATTGAGATAACCAGTTATGCTGCAAGTAAATATTTTTATCGTTTAAGAAAGCATCTATTTTCGATTAATTAAGCACAGCAATTGCAGATTTACGAAGCGGACGCTGCACCAATGGTCGAGTGGTTAAGCCTGTTAGATAATGGGAGTTGACCTGGGTTCAATCGCAGGAAAATTGACTGACTGCGTAGTTGGTTTTCATAGTTTACCGTATTGTATCTGTAAATACTATTAGCTCTAAAGATTTCAAATAGCTTTTTGAAATATTTTAATTTTGTGTATATGTTACGGTGAAACACCGAAATCTGGAGAATGTCGACTTCCACCGGTGAATGTCAACATTCACATAGTCTCTTGATGTATGTCCGAAATATTTTCCAAATACTCTTATTTCTGAATTACACCGGTCAATGTCGACATTCACCATGTACTAATGGTGAATGTTGAACATATAACAATATTATATTTTTTTCTCCGTAATTCAGTCGCGAATAAACGCACTTGAAATTTGAAATAAGAACTTAAGAACATGAGAACCTAAAACACACAATACATTCAAAATGAGAAAGGAAAATAACAGAAGTTAAAAACTTACTTAAATATGCAGTACGTTCTAAATGAGAAAATAAAATAACAGTAATAAAAAACTTACTAAATTATGTGATTCAAATCTTATTTATTGCAACAACTTAAACTATTATGGCACTTTATGACCTCTCTTTTGGATTTTCACCAGAGCATATCTGTGATTGTCGACATACGCAGGTGAGGGTCCGAATATACAAGAATGTAGTGAAATATTCAGTCGGTGAATGTTGATATTCTCCGGTGAAAGTCGACATTCTCCAATTTCGGTCTTTTTTTCGGTAACATATACAGATGCGACATAGAATCATAGCTTCTGTTTGGGAGCTTATCTGCAGATTTCTGTTGAAAAACCAAGTAGCTAATCTTAGTATCGGTTTCCTTTTGGGTGTTCAAATTTGGTGAAATCTAACGTAGAAAAATTGAGATATGGTTGTTCATTCTATTTAAATTTTAGCTGCTCGTCTTTTGGTGAGGTATCAAGCCTTCAAACTACATTTTAAAAAACAAACAAATTGAAACTTACTACATTCCCAATTACTCAGCTTAAAATATCATAGACAAAGCTTCCATTTGAGACTACCAAAAATTTTACAGCGAATATTTACAGTAACAGACAGAACTTAAGTAAAACTGCAAAGGAGAGCGTAATTCTCTCCTATAAGAATCTCTAACAAAGTTGTATTGATTTGAGCAGATTTACCCCACAGACAGTTTAAATTATTTAGAAACCCACAATGACAATTAACTTACAGATCAAGTAGCGTCGACAGCTAAAGTACCTCAGAGCTTTCTTGAAAGCAATGCGACCAGTGTTATCTCGCGCTAATCAAGCCTAGCTACGTTTCTTCTTATGTCCTTCTATGCTTAATCTCTCATTTCATATTCCTGGAGCGAGAGGAATGAGAAAAGCAAGAAAGGATTAGAGAGGACAGTAGAATCTAAGAACGAGGGGGGAGGAGAAGAACTGGTGTTAAGAATTAATCTTATCAGGAGCTCGCTTTTAAAAGTTTAAAGTACACTGCTTCCATTGCCTTTTTCACTCAATGAAGCAAGTTGCTCAACAGGCCCAACAAGACAGGAGAAGACAGGAAGTCAAAGAAGACAAGACACGAAATCAAGACAGGAAGTCAAAGAAGACAAGACACGAAGTCAAGACAGGAAGTCAAAGAAGTGAATCAAGTGCATGCCTTTGTCAGTTTCAAATGTATTGTGTCTCTTATTAAACTGATATTTATTTAATTTAGCAGCCTTCTCTGATTTATTTCTGCCTTTTGCACGTTTAGCAGCTGAAGAAGATTACTCAGCTGAAAGTTTACTCTTGATTTAATTAATTTCTAACCCAAAGCCCTGTCGTTTTATTTGTTAAGAGTCAACTCATTTTGGTTTGCAATTCTTAGCCACTTGTAAACTTATTTTTAGGCATTTTTGATTTTAGCTCATCTAAGCTCTTTTCTCTTGTTGGGTAAAAGCGAAGAAGTTAAATAACCACTTAAATTATAACATTGATACTAAGAAGGTTGTATAATTCAATCAAAAATATTTTTTATATTTTTCAATTAAAATTTATTACCATTTAACCCTGCATTAAATGCGTGGTTAACCGGTATTTTTGATAAGTGCGCTGTTGACACCTGTCACACACGCACTTAGTCTAGGTTTAAGATTTCACGAATTTGTAGGAAAGAGTATTTTATTTAGTGGTAAAAGATTATTTATTTTCTCGAGTTTATGATAAAAGGTCATTAAATGACATACAAACGTATTATTTCAGATGTATTCTATATCCACGCATGAATGATTTTAAAAGAATGGTTGTCATATAAGACCGTTTAATATCATACCGTGTTTAATATGCTTTCTGTTACTTTCTGAAGGTCTCATTGTATGACTTTTTAAAGTCACAGTCACGTATCTACATAATTCATTTTCCTATTCTCGTATGAAAAAGATAAAAAATTTGAACATGACAAAACTTCTTAAAAAGCAATATTGCTACCAGAAATGCCTTGATTTCAACCTTGAATGTTCTTATATCATTTGTTGAGAATATTCTTGCGTTATACGCAAGCTGCGCGGCAATAAAAAATGATTTTTCCTATTAAAAATAAAAGTAAGGCGACATCAAGTAATAGGCTGGTAAGCTTTAATGAAAAACCTGAGGATTTCAACCCTCTAAGCTTATTATGATATTCTTAAGAATATCTCAAACGAATAAAGCGCAAGGTTTAAAGTTAGCAAAGTTTCTGTAGCTAGAAGATATTGAAAAGTTATATAGGCTTTTAAATAGAGAATAGCTAGAAAATACTTAACAGATATCTAAGCTTTTAAATAGAGAATAGCTAGAAGACACTTAGCAGATATATAAGCTTTTAAATAGAGACAATGATACTTTCAATGCCGTCTTTTAACAGAAACAGAGAATAGCTAGAAGCTATTTAAAGGTATATAAGCTTTTAAATAGAGACAAGGATACTTTCAACGCAGTCTTTTAAGACAGACAACTTCAAGAATATGGTGATTAAAAGAAATTAAGAAACAGAAGTCTTTTTAAAAGAAATTGGCTCGTATTCTCACATGGAAAAAACAAATTTAAAACTCCTTATATCTCCACACTGATCACCAAGACTTAAATCCAGGGTAAACTATAGGTATTCAGCAATTTTACCCCTCGGTTGCTTGTGGGCTTGCATTTCTGAAACTTGTAACTTGATTGAACTCGCTACTTGCAGCTGGTGTAAGACAGTACTCATTTCTTGATTTTTTTCTAACTGCGCCTGATCTATATTATACATACTGTATTTATATTGCCCTGAAATTATTGCAATATATCTTATTAAATTTTAGTCATATTCCATCACTTTTAAGTTATTTAGCATAGAATTTCAAAATATGATCTTTCCCATTTAAGCTCTTCAATTATCATTTGAAATATTTATTGCCTGAATCCATCAGATTGGCAGCTTCCCATATGTTTTATACTGCAGTTCGAAAATTCGGAATGTTGCCTCATAGTGTTGCATCGCAAAATCTCGCAATATTTTTAATAATTTTGTTTTTATACAGGATGTTAGGAGCTAAATTTTCCCTTAATCTGTAGTTTTAGATAAAGAGATTCATTTGTATTCTTCAAAAAAATTGAAAAATCAATTTTGAGAGACCTGTTCCGTCAGCGCACCAAAAACAGTTTTTAAAGTGTAGAGACATTAGGTATTTAAGAAACAGACAAGAGAAAAAATTAGCAACGCCTTCGCTGGGAATCGAACCA